AATTTGGACATCAAAGTGAAGCGTGTAGGTAAGTAGAGCTTAATTGAATAATCGGAGGATAACCTTATTGATCAACAATGTTTCACGGAACCATTATTTTGGATGTGAAATTGATAGGAAAAACAATATGTGTAGGGTGATCGGGTGTCTTTTAAAAGTAATCATTGCTTGAATAAGGAAATATTAAGAATTACCAGAAAAAGCATCACAATCTTATATAAAGTATCTTGTTCCTATTATCCCAACTTTTAGTACGTATACTACGTTGTTCCACTGCACTGTGTTTTTTATTTTATGATTACAATGAGATGCACAATTAAAGTATAAGTGATCGTAGAGAATGACAGAAATAACGGTAATTCGTCAAGCTGTCTAGGACATAATGTGAATCCAACATAGTTTTGGAAATTAAAACGGCATAGAAAAGCTAGTCTACCATGCATAACTTTATATTTCCTAAATAGGCATGGACGCGTTGTTTACCTTTACATGTACAATGTGTGAAAGACGACACGAACAATGTATTCCTATTTTTCAATTATCCTTTCAAATTCTTCAATTCTTATTATCGATCTTTTAGTAGATTTTTTTTTCTTTTAAAGAAAATAAACTTTTAATGAACGAGGATTGGGCAATGAAAAGAATGCAAATAGCATATTTTCGCATAATTGCATTGACTTCTCTCCTTTATTCATCTCTTTCGCGTGTAGTAATCATATTCCGTGACGTGTTAGATATACAGTAATTACCTTACTTACACTAACATTCGAAAGTTGTGATTGGACGACTTCGTGTGAATGCATATTACTTTTATCGCATGCCTTGACCAAAGCGGAAAATCGATCGTTCATCCCATTGCGTCGGGTAATGCACAATTTATTTATTGCACCGCACCATATTTTCCCATGCATATTTTAAACAGATATAGAAAATTAATAGAATATGGAATTAACCAGAATCAATAGATGATGTTAATAATCTCCGACCTGTAAAATTCCTCAACCATCTATTCACAGCATTCGCATGTTCAATTTTTCAAACACTTTTCTATTTCGTAAAAGTTGGATTCTAAAATTTTTACAAACTCATTTCATTCAATAATTTAATATCCATTAAATTGAAGATAATAATAACATATTATGCTGCATGATTATTGGTTTTTAACCTTGGATTTGAGCATAGATATAACACTATATTGTATTTTTAAATAAAAGATAGGTTATATGAAAGAAAAGGAATCTTTGAGGCTATGCAAAAACATAAGGACTTAATCGTTAATATAATGGAAGACTTTTATTACTAAAATTGATACGCTTGTCAGTCACATATGGTATATTATACAATTTTATCACGTGATAAACATGATTTCGTGATGTCACCTTCTGCACCACAAATCAGGAAATTCCTTTTGATTAAAAAAAAAAAAAAAAAACTTTTTTTTATTCGTTTGTGGAAAAAATATTCCGAAATAACGAAAATTCCAAGATCATGAATTCCTCAAAAAAATCTCGAAAATCCTCAAAGAAAGATAAAAAAAATGACATCATATTGGTTAATACTCAGGCATCTTCCTCAAGGTCGTTAAATAACAAATCCAAGAATCACAAGAATTCATCCCCCAAATCAAATTCTCAAATTCTCACTCCTCCCAATCACATCCAATCCTCATCTTCGAGCAGACAACTTTTGTCATCCAATCAGGATCATTCGCCCTCTTCAAAACCCTCGAAAAAAATCACATCGTCACCAACGAAAGTTTCGATCCTATTAGGTTTCCCTGATGGTGATTTACCGCTAGAAGATGATGTTGACCCGTACCTCACAAAAATCGGTGGCGTGCCAAATTGGTTGATTGCATTGTGTCCAGCTTCACATGATCTGATTGTTTGTAATAATTGTGGGAGAGATATGTTTTTATTGTTTCAGGGCTATGTGCCTTTTGAGGATTCTGTTTATGATAGGGTTTTTTACGTTTGGGGGTGTAATCAACATCGGTGTATGAAAAGGCCGGGAAGGTAATTGGTTATATTTGTTGATTTCTAATTTGATTGCACGCGGTCTCGTTGTTTATATTTATATCAATTTTATCGATTCAGCTTCAGGGCTCTCAGGTCTCATAGGCTAAATGAAGAATATGCACGAAAAAATAAAAAGAAGAGCAAACCCAATTCTTCTAAAGTTGATTCTTCGCTTCACGTGTCAACTATTAATGTACGAACGACAATTTTATTGCCAGATGTGAACTTGAATTTGATCATTGAAATGTTTTGATTATTAAAATTAATTCTAGTTTGATGACTCATCAATGAACATTATTAATACGGCAACTGGTGGATTAGGAGGAATGCTATTTATGGATGGCGATAGTAGCTTGATCGAGGAAATTGTAAGTTGGACGTATATCAAATCATTACTTATATATATTTGCGAATGAAGAATGGTATTAAGCTAGCTTTTTTATTTTGAAAATGTAGACTTCGTCTTTTGAATCAACACGAGATTCTTCAATGTCAACATGGAATCTGGCTGCGGGATCGGACCAGAAAGATCGGGGTGACGTTGAATCGAAACTATGTGACGAAATTACATCGAAATTGACATTAAATCCTTCTTCGCAGCAATGTCCGAGAAGTAAGTCATGGCCGGAGAAAATTCCATTCTTTCCAGCAAAATATATATACATAACTGATGAGGTAATAGAGGAGGAAAAGTCGTTTGCTGATCTCAAGAAGTATGAACGCTACTTGAATATCTCGATGGAAGAAGAAAACTTCTTTGTGGATGATGAAAATGATGACTGGAGTGGTGAAAAATATGAAAAATCTCGTTTACCAAAAGGTGTGGATAAAGCTTTCAAAAGATTTTCTGAACGCGTAAACGAATGGCCTGAACAGTGCATTAGGTAAGAGGTGAATGCCCTAATGGTTCTCTCAGTATAATCCTAATTCTAAGTCAACGCTCATTCATCCTTCGCTTGATTGAAAGATACGAGTTTGATGGTCAACCGTTATTATACAATCAAAGTGATTCCACGGCTGCATTATTGTTATCGCCACCATATGGTTCCGTCAAACAACTCAAAACCACCACACATCAGTTACCAAAATGTCCTAAATGTGGTTCTAGGCGTGCATTTGAGTTTCAATTGATGCCAAGCTTATTATGTGTGCTCCCAATAAGTGAATACAGCAGTGACACTCGGAGCAGTGCAGCATCGAATAACGGGATCTCTCAATTTGATGTGGGAATGGAGTGGGGTACGATCATGATTTTTACGTGCTCTCAGGATTGTAATTTGGATGGAGTTGGTGGCGATGGCGTTTCATACTACGAGGAATTGGTTTTGGTACAATACGAAGAGTGAATCCTATGGCGTGCTCTTCTGAAAGCATTTTGGTTCATTTCACATAACTTGTTGATAACACCCCCATTTAGTAAAAAAGAACAATCCATGTTGTATTTGTATAGTTTAATAACATCATAGATGACATTTTATATTAATGAGAATCAATAAATTAATATCTAATTTCGGGGTTAAAATTCTTCCTCTTCTCCTCTTCCCTAACTTCAAACATTATTTGTACAGCAGAGAAAATTCCCACACAAGCAAGCGCAAGTGAGATTAAACCTATGAATGTCGTGATGATTTATGTGCAAAACATAGTTTCATGTCAAATTATATATGCACAATTAATTAAAAGATCAGTAATCATATTTCAAATAGAACATTATAATAATGGGAACGGTACTTGCCTCGAGAAGTCATAAAAATATTTGTGAACAAAACATTCATTCCATCCAGTCCAACAGCAAATCCAATTAAATTGGCCATCCACATCATGATCAGATTTCCCACACCTCCTAGCGCACACAGGTGCCTATAATATGTCCAACTACCCCACTACACAATTTTCACCAAATTTTTCTGTTATATAACTTAAAAATCTTTACCAGTATAAAAAAATTTAACTTACTTTTTTGGGTGAAAATATAATGGTGCATATCTTTTCCGGTAAAATAAATAACCATATTAGCCAACCCCAAGCTAACAGCTGAAGAGATATGTCATGCCAAAACGCGACGAACGTGAATACCGCTAATATGTTAATGACTGGACGTTTATTTCCACCCAGAGGAACATATATATATCTGAAAAATAGGTTTTTTCGGAAAATACGATAAATTTCTTATCCAACAGATTAAAATAAAAAGACTCCTCGATTTTACCTAACGAGCCATCTGTAATAACTTCGATGCCAACTACGCCAAAATCCACTGGTTGAATAGTTGTTCAACATGCATCTTATCATATTTTCCTGTGTGTCGATTCCATCTGCCAGAGCCCAAAATCTGAAAAATCTCCATAT